AGTGGATGTGGAGGGAGAAATGAAACCAGTGAGCTCACACCTCTGGGCTTAAGATGTACAGGGCATTCTAGTGCGGGCAGAGCAGGGAGGGTGGGTGGGGGCAGAGGAACACCGGGAGGTGTTTCTGGGGTTGACAGTGGGGACCTAGCACAGGGAAGTAGGCATGTGGTGAGGCTGGATCTGGGGGATGGCGGCTGCTCCAGGGGAAGTGGCTTTGCTGTGGCTCTGAGGGAAAAGGAGAAGTGTGTGTGTGTGTGTGTTGTGGGGAGGGGTTGGTGCCAAGAAGCTGTGGCAAGAGGGAAGAGGATGGCCACTCTCAAGTAACAGGCGCCATGGACATCTGAGGTGGACACTCTCGAGGGAGGGAGGAGCCCGTCACCTTGGACACAGGAGTGTGGGCCTAAGGGGTCTCTCCAGCGCTGCGTGACTTTTTTTTTTCTTTTTTTACATCGTTTTGTGCCTTTGCCCATCTCAGTTGTAATCCCCATGGGCTTCCCATAGCACGGGGTGACTTTTAAAGGTAGGGGCAGATGTTCCGCTGTGGGTGTAGCCTGTGAGACCAAGATGGGGCAGTGTTGGGGGCAGCAGGTTTCCCTTCAGCAAGTCTGTGGCACAATCACAGGAGAATGGGGACTCCAGGCCCCCTGTGGCTCACTCACCCCTGCAGCTGCTTGGGGGGGGGCCTGGAGTTTCACCAGGGATGAAATTTAGGGACTCAGTAGGCCATTTGGTGGGGTCTCGGGCAGGGGCAGCAGGGTGGGACTGCCAGTCTGGCTCATCTCTGACTGGCCCTGGCTTCATGGTGGTACTACGGGGCCCAAGGAGTATGGCCCCATCCCACTGCGGGCCCCCCCAAGGGACATCCAAATGCCCTGTCAGCCCCACTCGCCTCATTTGAAATCTAACCGTCTCCTAAAAGCTGCCTCTACCCCTAAGGGCCCCACTGTGCCAGGGACAAAGTCTGGTGATGTGATTCTAGTATCCAAGGGGACAACTGGGGAAAATCAGAGCACAGAGAAAGGGTCCCACCCAGGTGACAAATAGCATAGTCAGGTCTTAGCAAAGAGGGGTATGGCATTCTCTGTGCCATGTGCTGGGTCTCTGGGCACGATTTTCCTTGCCATATTAGAGTCACATGGCCACTCTGCTGGTGGCCAGCATTGACCAGGGATGACCATAATAGACCCTCACAACTATAATACTTGTGCCCTCCCTCGTGATGCAGTGGGTTAAAGCGCAGCAGTGCAAGCTCGATCCCTATCCCAGAGGTGACCCACATGGCCCGGCAGACCTCTCCTGACTTACTTGCTGCTCCCCTCAGCAGTGTACTTCATCGATCTGCCTGTTCTGCTCCC